AGAGAGGGAGGAGAGGGAGAGAGAGGGATGAGAGGGAGAGAGAGGGAGGAGAGGGAGAGAGAGGGAGGAGAGGGAGATGGAGAGAATTAATATACCAGCTACAAGTACGTGTATATATTCATTGTATTATTTGTAAATGCAGTTCATGTAGAGTGGGTCTATAAAAACTATAATATTTTAAGAGATACACTAATCAAAAACATAGAATGGATTTACTGTACTGATAAGGTGGGGCCACTAAATAAAAGATAATCCTATAAAAATATGGCCACCTGTCCCAACTTAAACACAAAATTAACACGAGTAGTAATTGGAAGAATTAGTGCTATATATAATCAAGATTCAATACTTCAGTCTAGTATTGCAAATCATAGTGTAAAAAGAAGGCCAAAGCTCTCCAACTACCACTCTTCTTTCTCTAAGAACAATAACCTTATCAAATATCACACGTTGCATACAGCACATGTACATTGACTATAAACTGCTGATTAAACTGACACTGTATCATAAGACTATAGCCAGGAGTAGTGGGAGTATACAAACACTTTTAACAAACACATCATCATCATTATATGTACCTGCTTGTTAAGATAAGCTAACTCGTCATAGCTTTTAAGAACAGACCATCTAAACCCACCCGTCATACAGACCACTATACTGTAATACTGGAAGAGAGAGGGAGAGTGATAAAGATATATACAGAGAGAGTACACTTACTGGTGTACCATTGTAGACCTCATAGCCGCTAACTTGCAATAAAGATATGGTGGGTGTGGGGAAGAGCGGCCATTCCACTCTCGTAGATCCTGAAGCACTAGAAGAAGCAGACATGTTGTTCCCTGGCCTCGGATCTCCTATTATTTCATAGTCTCGTCCTACTTGACCGCCTGCCCCTCCCTCCCAATGAAAAGGCTTCCTTGAAGAAACAAACTCCATTTTCTCAGTCAATCTTTTGTAAATCTCTGACTTTGCACATTCCAGTGATTCCACAAATGACCAGCCACGCCTATTATGAGCTGGGGCCAGCTTTAGTTAGCTTTAAAATGATTTGCAAATAAAAGTACCAGCAGCATCTATTTGCTAATAAAATGCATGTACATGTACTTGCTGACAGTGATTTATAATAAAGTTTCTGTGCTTTTCCCTGCATGATAGAACAGGTAAGGAAATTAGCAAAAATTGGGTTTAATTGGTCTAAAAATTAGCAAAATCAGGGTTGTTGTATAAGAACATAATATAGTGCATACATGTGCATGTTTTGGCTCAATATAACGCTAGATGAATCCTAGTCTACTGGTATCATTTATTAAGCTCCTTGTAGCAATGGTTGCAGACTCGTTGTGGCTTCTTTGATGCTGGGAGCATGACGGACTGTGAGGTACACTTTTGACAGAATATTTGACCACAGTGGCGGCAGTGATGCTAGAGGAAATGGAAAAGGTTTATATAATACTGGAATAACTGTGTGGATACCTTTCTAACGCTAACTGAGAATTTAACTTGACACGCATGACAACTCACAACATCCTCATCTTTCTCCCACTGTCTCTGCTTCTGGCGCCTTTGAACAATCTAGAAAATAACAAAAAATAAATAACTTTGACCTACTCCTTTCTTTAGCTCATAATACCTGCATTTTTTCATTCTCTCTTCCCAGCTGCTGGAGAGCAGAGTGTAGTTCCCTCTCTCGGTGCTGAAGGTCCGATATTTGAGTACTGGATCTAGTTCTCACTTCCTCTTCTGATACTAACCTGCCACCAATTAATGAAGGATTGTCTCTCTTTATAAACTCACTTTTCTAACAAGGACCTGTTCTTGTCTTCAAGAGAATTGTTAAGCTGTGTTAATTCTGTAAAACAAAAATTTATAATATTTATCCGATCATTAAACGTGTACATGTAATTGTAATAGAACCATTAATCACTAATACCATTAATAGTCTATTACCATTGATCCTTTTGTGTTGTATGGAGTTATTCTCATCAAGGTCTCTCACTCTTTGTTTCATGGTTTCCATTTCAAACCGGAGGGTGCCAAGGTTACCACTGAGGGTCTTCACCTCACGCTCGTGCTGCGTCTTCAGTTCACTGTTCTCTTTATCAAGTACTTCAATACGGGAATGGGCAGAACCCTATCAATACAGCAACAGTTAACAATACACATGTACGTGTATATGTACCAGGTCGGCTTTAAAATCGGCTGTCTCTTTCTCTAATTTTGCTTTTAGATTCTCATAATTTGATTTCAACTGAGACAATTCAAAATTAACCTACAAATAAACAAACAAACAAACAAACAAACAAACAAACAAGGTCGCTCACACACAAAAGTCTCTCCATTTTCACATAACTATATCTTCCATTATTCTAATACCTGGGCCGTCTCACTCTTTGCCTGTTCCAGCTGGACTTGTAGTGAGTTTATTTCAGTCTCCATTGACGTCTTTTCGTTGAGCCTATCCTTACCCAGCTGCTCTAGCTCCAGTCTGCCAGACTCAATGGCTGAATCTCTTTCACTGATTGTTCTCGTCAGTTCTTGGATTGTCTTCTCAGATTGGTCAAGTTGAGAGTTGAGATGTTTAAAGTCTGTTCTGGCTCCTTCCAATTCATTTTCTAGTGCTTTCTCTTTATCCTCGTGATGCTATCCATCAAAAATGAATAATAATAATAATAATATAATTAATGTATTTAAACTTGCTTTAACTGTATCTCTCAATTCTTTGAGCTGTTCTTCATATTTTTGAGTCTTTGACTCCAACTCATTCAAGAGTTGCTACACAAAATACGTTAAATTAATATTAATTATTATCTAATGGCTAGCAGCTGCTTACAGCCAGTTCAGTTTCAAGTTCTTCAACTTTCTCTTTCTTCGACTTTAGCTCAGCTTCAACCGAGTTAGCATATTCAGACTAGAAACAAGAGAGAGGGAGGGAGAGAGAGAGAGGGAGAGAGAGAGGGAGAGAGAGAGGGAGAGAGAGAGGGAGAGAGAGAGGGAGAGAGAGAGGGAGAAAGAGAGAGAGAGAGAGAGGGAGAGAGGGAGGGAGAAAGAGGGAGTATAAAGATATAGACAATATCATTACTTTTTGTTGAAAATAGGTATTGAGTGAAGCCACTTCTTCTTTTAGTGAAGTTACAGATGATTCATAATCCTAATTGACAAACTTGTATAAAATTAATACTAAGCATCTATCACTGTACCTCTATTTGAGTGTCTTTTTGTGCCATCAGACCTTGGAGCTCGTTTATCTTTTTGAAAGAATGGAACTTATCAAATTGAGGGAGTGACTTACTTCTGAATGTAGCTTGGTTTCATTGTCAACTTTTATTTCCAACTGTTTCAAGGTTTGAGAATGCTCGTTACCTTGTGCCTGCAGTATAAAGAATAAATCAACTAACCTACAACCAAGCCAGCCCAGTTAGCTCAGTCGGTAGAGCATCAGGCTTTTAACCTGAGGGTCACGGGTTCGAGTCCCTTACTGGGCGCTTAACTTTTTTTTCTTTTTTTTTCATCAGTGCTTACTTCAATTTTCTGTTTTTTGACTTCCAGTTCTTTTTTTGTGGCCTCCAGTTCATCCTGGACTGTCTTTGCACTCTTCTGAAGCTCTTCATGATCAGATTTCTTCCTTTCCAGTTTTGCTTCAGCCTCCAGAAGTTGGTTTGTTGCTGTAGCCTCTTGTAAACTCAATTTATCTTCAAGTTCTTTATATGAAGCCTAGCCTTGCACTAATATATTGATTATGATTCTCATTGAATACTTGTAACTGTAACAGTTCCGACTCTAAGGATTTGCCATTATTCTCCAGCTGCTTCTGTTGCTCTTCATGTCTTGAAATGGCAGCCTCTAGCTCCTGTACTTTCAACTGATGCTCTTTCAGAGACTGCAGGGGAGAGAGAGAGAGAGAAAGAAAGAGAGAGGGAGAGAGGAAAAAAGAAAGAGGATTATGATGTGCAGATATTTAAATAAAAATCCATACAGTTTGACTTGTGTCAAGATTCCGTTCACATTTCTCCAGTGATACTCTTAACTTATCTCTCTCATCTTGAACTGAAGTCAACTCAGACTCCTAATGACACAAAATAATAATAACAATAATAATAATAATAATAATAACAACAACAACTCACTTTATTGTTTAGTTGCGCCTTCAGAGTCTCTTCTTCTTTTCGATATTTTGTCCTCTCACTGTCTAAATCAGTTCTCCACGAAGCATCACTTGAAACCAACTGATCCCGAGCCTTTAATTACCACAAGAGGTGAAAGAGAGGGAGAGAAGTCAAAATTATAAAAGAAAAAGTAAACGAACAATTAAAATGACAAACAAAATCAAAATGGCTGACTCCAAGCCCCATGCAGTGTACATGCAATACTTCAGTACCTCCTCGAGTGATTTTTGTAGCGACGTAAGTTCTTCTTTTTGTGTTGCTGTGTTCTGCTGAAGAAGACCTAATTCACTCTCTAGACGTAGTTTTTCCTCGCGACTTGAGTCCTCAAGACTTTGTAAAGCTGACGTCTACAGACAAATTGATAGACATACAGAATAAGAAATAAAGTTCACTTTTTGCTGAAGCTGCGAGGATATTTCCGTTAGCTGCTTTTGAGCTTGATCTTGTAAAGTTTGCAGCTGCTTCTTTAAAGTGGCTTCATCTTCAGATGCAGTCTTTTTAAACTATAATTAATTGATTAATTAATTAGTGTCATTACGTTGATAAGTAATAGCTCTTACTTCACTGAATTTATTTTTGACTTCTTCAAGATCTGAAGTCAGGCTTTCAGTCTTGGCCTTCTCTCTTGTCAAAAGTTCTTGAGATTTCGTTTGTTCCTGAGTTGTGACTCTCTGAAGCTCAGTCAGTGCTGATTCCTAAAGCAAAGTGTTGGATCAATGATTGCTCATTGGAATATCTGGCAATTGTGACTAACTTTAGTTTTGAGTTCTGTAGATAGCAGATCCACTTTCCCTTGACTTGAAGCTAGAGCAACTTCTTTCTTCTGCAGCTGAGACTCAAGCTCCTTCAACTGACGTCTGCCGTCCTCAAGCTCTTCTAATACCTAAAGCAAAATTAAGTGATACATGTACATGTACTTATGCTGTTTAGAAAGTTTAAACTGATTCCAATCAAATCTTTTTACTAATTTTTAAGTTGCTCCAAAATCGGGTCAAAGTACCTGTACTAAAGTACAGGGGGTTTGGCCAAATTTTGCCAAAAATGAAAAGTAGAGAATTTTCCATTTTTATAATTGTTTCTGATAACATATACATGTTCTATGTATACCTGACATTACCTGTGTTTTTGATTTGTTAATTTCTTCAAGTTTCAAGTGAAGATCGGATTCTTTATCTGATGCTGCTTTCAGAACTGATTCCAACTTGACCTCAATTGATTTCTAACAAACAAACAAACCATAATAATAATAATAATAAATTATGATGATAATAATCATTGGTACCTTTTCTTGTTCCAATTGACTAATGGCTGTGCTCACTCCTTCTCCTTCCTCAATCTAAAATTAATAAATAAATAAATAAATAAACATTTCACTTAATGAACGAAACCTTTCCAATCAGTTCTGTCCTTTCAGTCTGCAATAATGACACTCTCTTGGTCTCCTCTTCATTTTTATGCTTCAACTCATTAATCTCAATGACACTATAAGGACAACATATTTAGCATGCACATGCACATGTACATGCACATGTATTAGAAAATGTAATAAAAATGAAGTCAGTTCATTTTATGCAATGGACCGGAGGGTCTGCCAGTATATCTCATTAAAGTTTGTGTGTGAAGTGTTGTACTTTGATTGGAGTCGCTCCTCAAGTGAAGTGATCTGTCGTTTTAAGTCTCTCGCTTCTTTCTGAGCAACTGTAAGGTCTTGCTCCTTTGAGCTGCAGCTGCTCTGAGAGGCTTCCAGCTCTTTCTGTAAAGCAACCAATGACACCTCCCTATCTGATACATCCGACTGAGACTGAAATAAAGGAATACAATGCATAAAATAATGATAAAATAATTGCATACTTTTCTAAGCTGTTCTTGTAGTGTTAAGATTAGACTCTCCTTTTCCTTAATCTGTTGGTTTGATTGCTCCAACGACGACTGCAGAGTAGCAATGGCTGCCTGGAGACTATTAATGATGAATAAGTAACCACACTCTGCCCGCCATTATATAGTACCTGTCCAGCTGCTGCTGTTTAGGTAAAGTATTGAGCTGTTCCTGTGCTTGCTTTAAATCTTCCTCTAGTCTATAAATAGAACAACATTACGTAATCTCTATTCTATAAATACTTCTCACCTGGTCACTCTCTCTTGGCGTGGAGCTCCTGCCAGTTCAAGCTCCAGTTCCCTAATCTTCATTTCACAACTAAAAAACACAATAATAATAATAATAATAATAATAAATTTATCCCATTACCTTTCAAGTTTTTGTGTGGTTGGCATTTGAGATAACTGATTCATAACATCCTGGTGTCTCAATTCAAGGCTGCACAACAAAACAATAATAACAATATTACTATTATTATTATTATTATCGTTATGATGCTAACTTTCTTAGTTCTTCAATAACTTTCTTTCCTTCATCTTTGCTTTCCTTTAGTTCTGTCTCTAACTCACTCACTCTCTCTCTTCTTGGAGCCATTTTGAGATCAGACTGTAACTGACTCAACTGCTCATCACGACTATAGTACAATGACAGTACAGAACATACAGTGGGTATTAGTGACAGTACAGAACATACAGTGGGTATTAGTGACAGTACAGAACATACAGTGGGTATTAGTGACAGTACAGAACATACAGTGGGTATTAGTGACAGTACAGAACATACAGTGGGTAATACAAGTAAAGGTAGACACACACATGTACCTCTGTAGGCTCATCTTCTTCTCATTCAGTTCAGATTCTAACCTTTCCACATCTTTCTTATACCTGAAACAGTTGTCAGTACAAGTACATGATAATCATATGTCACATGCAACACTTCAATATGTACTGTACATGTACATGTACCTCTGGAGGGTCTCTGGGCTAATGTACTGACTAAGCTTCTCTTGCAATGACTCCAGCTGGTTAGTGAGTGACTCCTTTTCATTTTTAACTCTCTCTAATTCGCTAGTTAATGAACTCAGCTGTAGCTCTAACCTAAAGGAGTGTAGACAGTAGGCATGATCCTCTCTCTCTCACTTTGTCATGTCTTGAACCTGAGGAGCAGTTTGAATATGGTCTGTCATTTTCTTCAAATCTTCCTCCAGTCTACATTTGAAGATATTAGCACACAAACGTTAATCCTTATATTTGCCTTTCTTTGTCATTTTTCAATTTATTTATTTCTTCATTCAATTTATGAACTGTTAGTTCATGTTCAGATGAGTTCTGTTCCATTACAATGTGAAGTGATGATAACTGACTCTGCATTGCTTTCACATCATCAGCTTCCGGTCTGGAGAGAGAGAGAGGGAGGGGGGAGGGAGGAAGAGGGTAAGAATGATAACAAGAAGTTGACAGTACAGTATACCTTTGCTGGAGCTGGACTGCTAGTCTTTCATTCCTAACTTCTTGCTCACCAGACTTCTCCTAAAACAAGTTCATCAATGTCCTCATGTTATATTGAGGCTATTCTGGTAGTATCAATGTTACCTGTAGCTTTATCATTTCTTGTTGAAGTGACTGTATTTTAGACTGAGCCTCATCCAGTTTACTCTGCAAGTTAGCATTGGTCATAGCCTACAGAGTACAGCAGCAATAGATACTAAGAGAAGTCACAGTAACATACAATGGTGCCTGCTTTCTGTGACACCTTCTCCATGTTACTGCTAAGGGTCTCTGACTCTTTCAATAAATGAGTGTTCTGGCTTGATAGACGAGCAATTTCAACAGACACTATTATAATACACCAATAATGTACAGTTATAATATACTGATAGTATACTAATAATATACAAACGCTATCACTTACTAGTGGCACGACTTTCCTCCGACTGTTCAAACATTTGCTTCATAACCACAAGCTCCTGTTAGTGAGAAAGAGGGAGAGAGGGGGGCGGGGTGTATGTTAATAATATAAAGATAATAAGTGATTAGCCATACTTCTCTAATTTGGTCATCACTTTTATGAACGATATCTTCCAAGCGACTAACTTGAGATCTCAAGGAACCAGTAACAGACCTCTCCTCCTACAAGTAACATCATAATTAGTGTAGCCCCGCCCCTCTACAATGTACATTAATTAATACGATCATTTCTTGGGCCATTGTCCGGTAAGTGTCCAATTCTCCATCAGATCCTTCGCTAGGCAACTCTGGAATATACTGAGTACCAGTTTGAGCTCTTTTAGGAAACTGATCTCTAAAAGTTAGAACAACAAGTCAATAATAACAATCAACAACAACAACAATCAACAACAGTCAACAAATACTTTTTAACAGGTGGTGTGCTGGCACTTGCTCCATCTAGTGTAGCTTCAAACTTCTTCTCTTCCTCTTTTGTCTTCTTGTTGTTCTCTGAATGAGCAGCGTCCCAGTGAACCTGGAGGGCCTCGGCTGACCTTAGGCCCTCCATACAAATGGGACAGATGAAACCCTCAGAATCAGCTGGCAGAGGAGGATCACTGGGTGAAGGAGCCTAATAAAAGGTAGGAATAGTTCCAGGAGCATTGCATCTCCCTAACCTTCTGTTCCTCCTTCTTTCTCCTTCGGTTTAAATTTCTTAGCATTGCTGCCATTTTCACTCTCAGCCACACCCTAAAAAATACACATGCCCCCGCCCATTATAGTATACGGAGAATTAGCGGACTAGTATACTGAATATTAAATACACGTACACGCCTACTTAGAGGGGTGTGGTTATAGCTCCACTGCCCCACCCACTTATTTTAATTTTAAAATGTGTCATTTCAAAAAAAAATTCAAATTTAAAATACAATTCTACTTAAATTAAAATTAAATTTTAAACCATAGGCTCATTGTATACTGTTATCCACCCCATTACATGTAATAACAGAGAACATGCAATCAATCCTTACCATCCAGGGCCGGTCCAGGGACAGGAGCAGGAGCTTAGCTAAGGGAGGGGGTGGGAGAGAAGGGTGGAACATGTGGATTAGGTAATGTACAGAATATACATTATTGACTCTCACTCTACCTCACACTCAACCAACTTTAGGCTTGATCCTGACTCCAGATCCAGATCCAGAACAGTCAGGCCTACTAAAGTGGGGGGTGGGAGAGAGGGGTGGAACATGTGGGTTATATTGTACATGCACAATTATACATTATTAACTCTCACTCTACCTCACACTCAACCAACTTTAGGCTTGATCCTGAGTCCAGATCCAGAGAACATCGTCCTGTAAAGATAAAAACAGAAAACTGTTTAAACAATAGAATAAGTAAAGATCAATGGGACAGTGCTTTATTACATGTACTGGGGTGGATAACAGTATACAATGAGCCCTTTATTATTAGCACTGTAATCAAGGTACTAGCATGCAATAGATACATTGTTACCATACACTGAAGGCTTGAATTTGATGCTGCCGAAGACTTGCTAGCTTGACCAATCTTAAAAAATAGAATACATGTTAGATAAGGATGTACATGATAGTGTATGGATATTATTAACCAATAGAGATTTGTCCTTGATCCGTTGATTACAAGTAACCTAAAAACAAAAGACATACATTTAACTGTCATTATTAACAAATAAAATAATAATAATAGTATAAAAGAATAACCCCATGCATGAAATAATAATAAATAACATGAGAATGTGTGAAAGAATAAAGTGAGAATGTTACCAAAATGCCAGTGGAAAGGCAAAGAGCAAAACCACTCGTTTTTCCCCATTACATGTATTTCTCACTCTTGCTTTGCTCATTGTCTTTACCAACTGACACTTAGATAAACTATTCCCTCCATTATTCATCACACACTCATATACAGGAACACTGTGTGTGTGTGTGTGTATTAACTTATCTCATTAATTGTCCTGTACTCCAGACTACAAGTCATGGCTCCTCCCTACATAAAAAAAGTTACAAGCTTGTACATACACAGGACACAGTAACCTCTCAGTCTCTCTCTCCAACAGTTAGTACTGCACACTCCAGCAAACCTACTGAGAGAAAGAAAGAGTCATAGAAAGAGAGAGGGCAAAACCTGAGGAGAGAGACAATGGCTGCCTCGTGCTTCTTCTCTCTCTCTCTGTGATCCCGCCTGACGTCAAAATGTTACTAGCAACTAGACATGGATTGGGCAATCATCACGTGACAAAAGGTGACCTCTAAGGCTATGAATATTAATAACTTGATAACTATTAATAACTTAATGAGTGTTGATTATTGCTGTCTGTCTGTCTGTCTGCACACATGCATGCATAATTAATGAGGAACTACCTGAACTGCCACACCTACTAACCACGTGTAACCTTAAACTGCCTCCCCCTTTGTGAAATTGAGAGATGGAAAGTCAGCAGGAGAAGGCTTCTCTGTTTAACTTTCTCTCCGTGTCTCTACTGATATTAATCTGTTCTATATCTCTTGCCTGGAGTTGGTCTGATTGTGGCAGTGATGGAATCAGTGTCACCTCGGTCTCCATGGAAGACTGTCCAAATAGTTCTCGCATTTGTTGGGCTAAAAAGAACCAAAATGAGTCTCTATATGTCGTCTTTACACCTCTGCTCAACTACACCAACCTTACGATCACTGTTAATGCCACTACAGGGTTTAATACAGAGAATTTCCCTCTCCTTAATGGTGGGTTGATATGCTCTGCAGGTGCTCCTTGTCCAATGGTGGCTGGTGCTACTGAAAAGGCTCGTCTGAGTTTCTTATTAAATGATAGCTTGCCGACTGACTTCAACGTTAGAACAAGGTGGTGGTTTCATGACGAGAATAGCACAATAAGAGGATGCTTCCAAGTTACCTTCATGATCCTCAAGTATCATTGATTAGGAGTCAGTACCTATAGGAGCCCATGGACATACATGATTTGATGCATACACTCATAACTTGAGGTTTTGTGTTCTTTCACTTGTTTGTTTCTAGTTAAACTAATTTGAATAGTTTTATTTGCGATAGCTCGAGGAATTGTGGCAGTATTGATACTACAGTGTAGAAACTTGCATTGCTAGTTTAAGGTACTGCTTAATTATGCATTGATTAAGGATAATCTGAAGTGGGTGGGGCTAGAGGAGGGGTTTCAGTAATTAAATATGGCTGTTGATCCTACTTTGCTTCAAATGCAACTGAAGAGAAATAATGAAGATATGAGGGACATGCTTCAGAGCCTGGACTCCTGGGAAGAAGAAATCAAGAAAAGAGATGAGTTACTTAAGAAGCAGAAACCAATTTTAAAGAAGGTTGATCATTGTTCTAAATAATCATAAATTATTGTTTTAATTTAATATAAATTATATAATTATTAATTTTTGTCCCTGGGCAATATCTGTGATTTAAAGGTTGAATTTTAAATATTTAATTGTCTTGTAACTAGTTCTTATTGACAGACATTGCCTCCAATTCGCGGGAAATCAAGTGGCGATGCACCACATAAGAAGAAGCCTGAACCAGCTGCCAAGAAAAAGGAGAAGATAAAATCGTTTGATTATGATGCATGGAGTAAATTTGATGTAGTGAGTGGAACATTGTCATTCATAAATTATTGTTTAAGTATTGACACAATAATCACTAATATTTATGTGTCTGTCTTAAAATTTTGGAAACTTTTTAGTCATTTGGTACTTGACTCTTGCAGATTTTATTTTCAAAATTAATGAGATTTGCTAAAATTTTGTTGTTATTAGGATGAAGCTTGTGAAGACAGTGACAGCAGGAGCAGCGAAGGAGAAGAAGAAAATGAAGAGAATGAAGAGAATTCACGAAGAGAGACTGCTGTACTAGAAAAGGAGCGAGTATGTAGAACATTATTATCATCATCATCATCATTATTATTATTATTATTATTATTATTATTATTATTAGGGTAACCAGTTATTTAAGGATGGTAAATATGAGGCGGCCATTGAGCGATATACAGCTGCTATCAATCTTGATCCTTTATCAGCAGTACTCCCTGCAAACAGAGCAATGGCTTTACTGAAACTGGACAGGTGAGATACACATAAAGTAGCAAAAAGGATTATGTTTTGTAGAAATTTTGAGCCGATTTGGTCAAGATTTTGATTTTATACGAATGTTTCAAGTTGCTCCAAAATTGGGTTAAAGTCCCTGTACTATAGTACAGGGGCTTTGGTTAAATTTTGTCAAAAATGAAAAGGAGAGAATTCTCCATTTTAATAATGTTTTCTGATGCATATATGTACTTATGTTGTGTAGAAAGTTTGAGGCGATTCCAATCAAAATTGGATTTTTCTCAAATTTTTAAAAGTTGCTTCTGCTACTAGGTATGCTGCTGCTGAGAAGGATTGCGATGTGTCGATATCTTTGGATGATAAGTATGTTAAGGCTTGGATGAGACGGGCAGCTGCTAAAACTAAACTGAAGAAATACGAATCAGCTACTGAAGGTAAAGGATTAGCACTGTCTCTCTCTCTATGTCATTCTGTATCGTTTAGATATTAAAATGGTGTTACAGCTGGAGCCTACTAATAAACATGCCAAAGCTGAACTGGAGAGATTAGAGAAGGCTAGTATACATGTACATGTTACAATACTCTTATATAATTATAAATAATATTTTATTGCATCTCCACCTACTTGTAAGTGTAGCTTCAATCACATTATTTTATTTAAATATCTTTAATGAAATGTGTTCTTATTATTTCTTAGCTCAAAGGTACAAGTGATGACAGGAAGTATGTTCATCCTGTTAAAAGACCGCCACATTTAAGATCAAAAGTAATCTCCTCTTTCCCCTCTCTCTCCATCCTTCATCAACCTTCATCAATCAACAGGAGCCATTGGTTAGAATACACATTGAAGACATTAGCACCACAGCTGTCACTTCAGAGCCTGTTAGTGATGCAGCAGCTCATGAAGAGGAAGAAGAAAGAAGAGTTGAAGAGACTAATACAATAGAACTGACAGAGAGCATGTTATATGAAGCTCCTACTAGTTCTATTCAGTTCCAGTGCCAATGGAAGACGTTAAGAAGATCTGATCCCTCAAAATTAGCTCAATATTTCAAGGTTATATACCACTAGTGTCGTAATACCTACACCTAGAACTCTGTGATTGGACTCCATCATGATTTTAAGTCATTTTGAGTTGCTTTATGATCTCTTTATTAGGCTATACTGCCCTCGCAGTATCCAGTGGTACTGAAACAATCACTGGAAAATGAGACATTCTCTGACATCATAGATATACTAGACAAAGAATATATTCAGTAAGAGCCTGTGCTGTACAGTATCTGGTATAGCTAATGCTTGGTGTATAAATGCTTTACCTCATCATGCTCCTTTAGTTTGAGGAACATACTGTAATCTGTATGTACATGTACTATTGCAGGATCTTGTTGTTAACATTATTGTTTCTTCTTACTGGAGCTGTTTAGTGTCTTGTATTCCTGTAGGAGGAGTATTTCTTGCTTTGATGAGTTAGAATGGATGAGAAAAGTTGAGAGATTCTCTGTTGCAATTCTCTTCCTCAGCAGCAAAGATAAACTAAGTAATACTGATATTTTATTTTTTATTTATTTATTTTTTATTGAAGAACTCAAGAATATTTTTGATGGACTCTCAAATCTCTGTGATAGAAAAAAAGTTTCTGAACTGGCATCGCATTACACCTTATCACTTTAAATTATCTGATACAGTAAATGATCATAATAAATTATGTAATTTTAAAACTCTCAAAAGAAAATTCAATGAAAATGTACCCACACCTACATTATTAATTAAAGTTATTGAACACGTGTTTTCATCAGCATCATGTCCAAGACCAGTAAAGCTAGGAAAGTAGCTCGAGGAAGACTCACAGAGAAACTAAACAGAGTACAAGATGTGCGTGGTCGCCTGGAGGAGCAGTTGGGTTACTTAGATCAGTTAGAGGATGTCTATGGTAGTGTGATTGAAGAGGTGGCGGGTGGCCTTGAGACAGCAGTAGCAGGACTAGTCAAGAAGACAGAGACTCTTGTAGAAGGAATGAGAGACGTTTCCAATAGAACTGGGACCATTGTAACTGAGAAAAAGAAAGTTTTTGAAGACGTCATCCAAAAAGCAACAGCTGTGAGTTGATTAATGAAAGTGGGATGAATTTTTAATCTGATAATTGAACCACAGTCGTATTTCAAAACTACACTAATGAGCCTGGGTCACATGGGATTTATGATTTATGCATTTTATAGTGCATGCCCTGGGATATGTTCTTGTACATGTGTACATGACATGTTCCTTTATGTTAACATATTGTACACATGTACATGTACATGCACTCCCTGATGTGTAATATATTCACATGCACCTTTCTATAGTATTCTTCTGCAGCATCATATACTAGTATGCATTAGTATATTTCTTCTTTTAATAGTCTACAAGTTCAGCATTCCAACTGTTAGAAAACAAGTGCTCTAACATGACTCATCAGCAATATTCAACAGCTTCGCAGGATCTTGAAGATACTCTAATTGATGCCCTGACCCTGTTAGATGGGAGCTCGTATCAGTCACTAGGGGATAGTTTCAGAGAGATAACGTTCCAAGAGACATCAGTGATGAAGATTCATGATGAAGTACTTGGCCCTTTAGAAGGTATACAGCATGTGCATTGTATTTGTATCTTTATTGTCACAGTCTTTCAGAACTCAGATTTACATAATTTTATTATTACTTTTCAGTTAAAATAAAAGATTTAAAGGATAAGCTAGATACTCTAGCTATGAATGAAGAGCCACTCCATCTCTTGGCATTTGATGATGCTTCATGTACTGCATCAGAGTTTGGAGATACTGTAACGGAGTCCACTGTAATGGAGAACACAGTAATGGAGAACACAGTAATGGAGAACACAGTAATGGAGAACACAGTAATGGAGAACACAGTAATGGAGAACACAGTAATGGAGAATACAGTAATGGAGAACACAGTAATGGAGAACACAGTAATGGAGAGTACAGTAATGGAGAATACAGTAATGGAGTCCACTGTAATGGAGAACACAGTAATGGAGAACACAGTAATGGAGAACACAGTAATGGAGAATACAGTAATGGAGAACAGAGTTGTTGAGAACACGTTAGCACAAAGGTTTGTTAAGTAGTTTTTTGCAGTCTGTTTGTTAATACATTAATGGCATCAATATGAATGTATTTCCTTTTACAGAGATGATGCCCTAGTATTTGCTGACAGTATTCCCAGTCTTACTTTAGAAGTTGGTTCAGTTTTAAGAGTTGTTGTAGTGTCAATGGACAGTCTTACATCACTGACTGTACAGCCTGAGTGCAGTGACCTGATATTACTCTCTGAAACATTGAGGTATAAGTTTCACCTCCTATGGGATGCGTTTAAGTTTTGTTTCACTTTCCAGTGAGCTAGCATTGAATGAAGAGCTGACCCAGTCTGTAGCCTGCAGGGACTTCATGTCTAATTTAAAGGCTGGACAAGTTTGTTGTGCTAGATTCTCTGCAGATAGTTTTTGGTACAGAGGCAGAGTGTTAGATATTGCTTACAAAGGAAATGTCATAAACAAAGGTATATAGTTCATGTATAAAGTGAATTGTTATCATCCTTTGTAGTATCAGTTCAGTATGTTGATTATGGAAATAAAGAAGTCTTACCTCTTTCGTCACTTCTTCCATTACCTGTTCATCTTGCTGCTCTCCCAATTCAAGCCATTACCTGTTCCTTTAAAGGTCAAAGCAGTTTCCTTCAAGAGGCTTCCTTCCAGGATATCTCACTGACATTGATGGAATGGCTGGAGCGTGTTTTAATTGGTAAAGTATTAAAGGCTCAAATAGCCTCTTGCTCTACATCTGGTGATGTTCATATTTTTGCTGAACTTTATGCACCAACTAAATTATTTGTGAACGAGAAGTCGCTCTCCTTCCTACAAAATATGAAGCTTACCTTGCCACCACACTGGATCACCACTGATACAATTTGTTTGGAGTCACTCATTAAAGATATGTTATCATATAACATGACTGGCCAGTCTACTGCTACTAATGACATTAAGAATATGCCAGACACTGTAACTGCTCATCAGTCTCTGACCAGCAGCAATGGACAAGATACTACAACACATGATTCAACCCCATCAGTCTCTGTTGCTTCATCTCTTACTAATAATCAAGCTCCAATGAGACTGGCTCCTTCTTGGTCTAATATTCAAACTCCTTTTCCTTGCTCTGGGAGTCAAACTCATACTAGCCCAGTCCCTACTAGTACTACAGGAGTTACTAGTGACTGTCCAACACTTACTACTAGCCCAGTCCCTACTAGTACTGCAGGAGTTAGTGACTGTCTAACACTTACTTCCACTAGTGTACCTCCTTTAGGCCCAAGCAATGAGACTGATCCAAGACACAGTACGGAATATAACACAAGCTCAGCTACTCCTTCATTGAGTTGTTCTTCTGGGAGTCATTCTAAGGGTAGTAGCCTTGTTGAGATCAAGAAAGGTGAAATCAGAGTAGTTAATCCTCCATCGTCCGTGGTCATTAACGAGATCGAAGAGAGAGAGTCGTCAATTAAGCTGCAGGAGTATGATGATGAACAGAATCACTTGATATCGGATGAATCAAGTGAGGATCATTTAGTGTCAGATGAATCGATATTGGATGAGTGGGATCGATTAGTATCAAGTGAACGAGATCAATCAGTTGTACAGGATCTTTTGATATCAGATCAACAGGATCAGTTAGTATCGCATGATCAAAATCATTTGGTATTGGATTTACGGAATCACTTAGAGCAAGAACAATTAGTATCAAATCAGCAAGATCGGAATGTCTCAAATGAACATGATCAGTTAGCATTAGACAATCAGAATTCTTTAGTAGCTGCTCAATCAGGTGAAAAGAATCTTGAAGTATCAGAAGAACAGGATCAAGCAGATGAATATCAGGATCAGTTATCAAACCCTTCAGATTCTTCTGATATTCTAGCACATCCTGTTCCTAGTATAAAGCCTGTTCATAAAGTTGATTCCATTCCAGAGTCTGTACATAAAGTTGATTCCATTCCAGAGCCTGTTCATAAAGTTGATTCCATTCCAGAGCCTGTACATGAAGTTGATTCCATTCCAGAGTCTGTACATGAAGTTGATTCCATTCCAGAGTCTGTGCATAAAGTTGATTCCATTCCAGAATTTGTACATGAAGTTGATTCCATTCCTGAGTCTGTACATGAAGTTGATTCCATTCCAGAGCCTGTACATGAAGTTGATTCTATTCCTGAGTCTGTACATGAAGCTGATTCCATTCCAGAGTCTGTGCATAAAGTTCTTTCCATTCCAGAGCCTGTTCATGAAGTTGATTCCATTCCTGAGTCTGTACCTAAAGTTGATTCTATTCCTGAGTCTGTACATGAAGTTGATTCCATTCCTGAGTCTGTACATGTAGTTGATTCCATTCCAGAGCCTGTACATGAAGTTGATTTTATTCCTGAGTCTGTACATGAAGCTGATTCCATTCCTGAGTCTGTGCATAAAGTTCTTTCCATTCCAGAGCCTGTTCATAAAGTTGATTCCATTCCTGAGTCTGTACCTAAAGTTGATTCTATTCCTGAGTCTGTACATGAAGTTGATTCCATTCCTGAGTCTGTACATGAAGTTGATTCCATTCCAGAGCCTGTACATAAAGTTGATTCCATTCCAGAATTTGTACATGAAGTTGATTCCATTCCAGTGCCTGTTCATGAAGTTGATTCCATTCCTGAGTCTGTACATGAAATTAATTCCATTCCAGAGCCTGATGTTTATAAAGTTGATTCCATTCCAGAGTCTGTACATAAAGTTGATTCCATTCCAGAGTTTGTACATGAAGTTGATTCCATTCCTGAGTCTGTACATGAAGTTGATTCTATTCCAGAGCTTGTACATAATGTTGATTCCAGTCCTGAGTTTATACATCAAGTTGATTCCATTCCTGAGTCTGTACATGAGGTTGATTCCATTCCAGAATCTGTACATGAAGTTGATTCCATTCCCAGTATAGAGCATGAGGTTAATCCTGTTCCCAGTATACATGAGTCTGGTCATGATCCTGATGGTGTTAAAGAAGCTGAGGAGATTGAGGCATTGCTGTTAAGTATGGAGTGTTCTGTGATTGATGATGATTGTATCACTGATTCTAGTGATGATATTATACTCTCACCACCTCCTGATTTTATGTGTCAAGACTCACCTAATCCCACACTTGATCTAATGTCTGTAGCTCCTTTGGATGGTTCAGTGACTGAGGCTCCTGCTACAGTAGGTAATATTGACACTGTTAGTGAGTCATTCTCCTTTGTTGAGTATGGTCCTGCTGATGAGCTATCACTAGTTGTATCTTCAGTTGTATCTCCTTCTTGTTTTTATGCAGTGCCTTCAGATAATGCACAGTCACTGGAATCACTAGAAACATCATTATTATCTCACTACTCTGACCCAGTCAACTGTCATGTATTGAGTGAAGGACAGGTAAGAGTTGGGTCTGTTTGCTGTACAAAGTCAATGACTTCTGAGGGGCTTTGCTACTCCAGAGGAATCATACAGTCTATTCAGTGGAATCTTACTCATGATGAATCAGTAGCTGTTAATGATAGGGATCCTATTGCTACTGATATTAATCATCATGATTCAGTAGCTGTTAATAGTACTGATGGTGATCCTATTGCTACTGATGGTTCATCTCCAGTAACTGTTCATGTCTTTTGTGTTGATTATGGCTATAAAGCTGCTACTGGCCTAGAGTCTCTCTTTGTCCTTGAGGCTAGGTTTGCTGCCCTTCCTGTACAATGTATACCTTGCTCTTTGTCTGGTGTGCAACTCTCTACTAATGAGGATACTCAATTACTTGATCCTTGTTGTGGCATCACTGCTGTTACTGATTCACCTTCAAATGGTGAGACAGCTCTGGTTCATAATACTAGGTCTTGGTCAAATGAAGTGGTTCAGTATTTTGATGGATTAGTTCGGAATAAGTTATTGTTGGGTGTGGTTACTGATAAAGCTGGTGAGCTGTTATTGTAATCAATATTGCTGTCACTTATTATTAATTATTATCATTTTATTTCAGTTTCTGCTGGTTCCTGTATTGGTCCTGTTTATTTGGTATTACTTTACGATGAGGAAAAGAATCTTATTAATAAGAAATTAGCTAAAGCTGGACTAGCTCTGTTTACTGAAGGTTTGTATAGATTTAAACTACTATAGTGTGTGGGCGTTTTATCAAATTTTTAGAAACTGAAAAAATTTGTTAAAAAATATAATTTTAATTGAAATTTTTCTGGATTGTATAATTATATTATTTCTTCCAGGTGCTTCTAGTGATCGTGACTCAAGCAGTCCTGACGATGATGAGTTTTTTAATAACTGGAATCCAATGGTCACAGATTTTCTAAGTCAAAGGAATGTTATTGATATTGACGATGAAGACGTAGGATCAGCTCTTCTGGGATACAGTAAGACTGATGTATTAATGGTATAGTAAGACTGAGTATAGTATAATGAAGAGCCTTTCCTTCATTCAATGCCACTAGTGTCATTGTATTTTGTTATTCTAATTAGAGAGCACTAATAATAAGGTCTGTCGTTTCTATAATACACCACAAGGATGTTATGATGGTGACCGATGCAGATATCAACATGTCCATGAAGGTATGGCTGTTACAATGGTCTTAAACTTATACCATGTATTGTAATGAGTATTAGTAAATATGATACACTTTAGGTGGGGTTGAACAATGTCTGCAAGACACTTTCAAGTCTCCAGCAGTTCCTTCTCTCCCTCCTGTCGGGTCAATGATTATTGTTGTCGTGACAACCATCCAGTCAATTAATTGTTTTATGGTTCACATCATGGGGCCAGCTGAAGTCCTAATGAAAGGTTCGTCTAGTTAACATTAATTGAATTATTATTATTAATTATTATTACTATAATTATTTATTATTATTATTAAGTATAACAAGGGAAGAATATTATTAGTTTCAGATACATTTCACGACAGGTTCTAAAATACAAAGCAAGTACATTAGATCAAAGTTTCTGATGCTACAACAAGAAATGGAGTAAGCATGCATTGTCTAATGTACTGTCACATGTACATCATTTCCTTTTTAAAATTTCATTTTCTTAAGTAGCAAAATTTTATATAATATAACCCATGGTTTTTTCCCCAAAAAATTGCTCCGAATTCACCCCGAATTTTTATTACATTTTCTGATACATATTGATGTCCTTATGCTGTGTATAACGTTTGAGTCAATTCCGACTTAAATTTTTCGAGTTATGGCCATTTTAAGAAAATGCCAAAAATTTGAAAAATACCCAAAGCTATAGCCCATGATTTTTTTTCAAAAAATGGCTCCGAAATCACCCCAAATTTTTATTGCATTTTCTGATGCATATTGATGCCCTTATGCTATGTATAAAGTTTGAGTCAATTCCGACTTGAATTTTTCGAGTTACGGCCATTTTAAGAAAATGCCAAAATTTTGAAAAATACCCAAGGCTATAGCCCATGGTTTTTTCCAAAAAATGGCCAAAAATCACTCCAAATTTTTTTTACATTTTCTGATACATATTGATGCCCTTATGCTGTGTAGAAAGTTTGAGTCGATTCCGACTTAAATTTTTCGAGTTACGGCCATTTTAGAAAATGCCAAAATTCTGAAAAATACCCAAGGCTATAGCCCATGGTTTTTTTCCAAAAAATGGCTCTGAAACCACTCCAAATTTTTATTACATTTTCTGATACATATTGATGTACTTATGCTGTGTAGAAAGTTTGAGTCAATTCCGACTTGAGTTTTTCGAGTTACGGCCATTTTAAGAAAATGCCAAAATTTTGAAAAATACCCAAGGCTATAGCCCATGGTTTTTTTCAAAAAATGGCTCCAAAATCACTCCAAATTTTTATTACATTTTCTGATACATATTGATGTACTTATGCTGTGTAGAAAGTTTGAGTCAATTCCGACTTGAGTTTTTCGAGTTACGGCCATTTTAAGAAAATGCCAAAATTTTGAAAAATACCCAAGGCTATAGCCCATGGTTTTTTTCAAAAAATGGCTCCAAAATCATTCCAAATTTTTATTACATTTCCTGATACATATTGATGTCCTTATAAATTTATAATTTCATTTTGTAGTGAGTATTATAAGGAACAGGGGAGAGCTGCCCAGTCCTTCGTCCCTCCCACTATTGGTGAGTTGGTTGCTGTTTGGAGTGAGAGGGACAACCATTGGTACAGAGCCATTGCTAAGGATCAGCAAGGAGCTAGCATTGAGGTAAGTGTGTCATCATTCAGTCATTTACACCTTTTAATATTCTGCATACTAATGGTAGTGTCATGTCTTTTAATATCCTGCATACTAATGGTAGTGTCATGTTTTAATGTTCCTTTATTTTTGGAATTATATTTTCAGGTTTTTTACATTGATATTGGTTATTCTGAATTGGTTGATCAGGAAAGGATAAGGACTATAGCTCCAGAGTTTGTTCATTTGCCAGTTCAAGCAGTCGAATGTCAACTCTACAATCCTAACCTTTCAATGGAGAGCATGCCCACTGATAGAACCAAGTGTGTTAATTGTGTGCTTTTGTTATGTGCAATAATTAATGTTTTCTTAATTTAGGAAAATGTTTGAAGATTTAGTGAAGGATAGGCTACTCTTTGCTCGAGTGATGTGGAGGTAAGATAGTATTGTATCACTTATTGAAATTGCATGTCCTACTAGAAACAGTAATGGTATCCTTGGGGTTGAACTACATGATCTTCAGAGTACAGGAGTGTCACTGAATGAGACTATAATTGGAAAAGAGTTTGAGAATAAGAAGAATGGCCGCCCAAAGGAGAAGGTAAAGAAGAGATTGGCAGTACAACTGATGCCTGGTTAAATGGAGTTGGTCATCTTTTTATAAATGTACTTCTAAAATAGGTTGACTGTATTCTTTTGATTCTATTTAATCATTTCAATTTCAATAATGGCGTGAACCAATCACTTGCATGCTGATGGAAGGTAGACTAAAATAGTGAATAGAATCTCATTTATCAAAATTTGAGATGTACATAATAATAATAATAGTATTATAACACATGTACGTATATTAACTCAAAAATACTTAGCAACTAATAATTAGAGTGTGTCCACCAGCTGTTCATATTGCTGCATCAATGAGTGAGCCAGCACTAGAGACAAAGAAGAGGACAAAAAGGACCCACCAGGTCAAGAAAGATAACGGATAGCGATAGACTGAGAGATAAAAGACACCCCTAGCATCTCTCATCTTGTGAAATTGAGAACAGTCCAATATATCAAGGTAAGAAGATGAGATCAAATACAACAGCTGTATTGTAGTTAGGAAGATTACTGGACCAAAGTACTGAAGTGAAGCTCCTCCATAAAAACTGAAGATGCTTTTCACTTTCAGTTTAAAGTCTCCAACAGTTACTCTTGGCTTTGTAGACCTCAGGTTATTCAAACTGTCTTTAGCTCGAGCAAGGTATGTCTTCATGTGGAGCTGAAAGAGAGATAGTCTGAGACAACAAAGAACTATCACTAATAGAAATCGATAGACAGGATTAACAGGAATAGCATTGGGCGGGAGAGCCTCGTCGTTCCAGGCGATAGTTCTAAACCAAAGAGTGAGGGTAACCAATGGAAATATGTAATTAATATGAAGGAGTGTGCGTAACACTAATCCTTTGGAATCATTAACCGTCTCAAAATGAAGCTTTGTGTAATTAAGTACCGGAAACACAAGCACAAATCCAACATAAGTCCCAATAGATACAATCATTAATAAGTATAGCTTGAAAGGTACGTAACTTTCAACCGTTGCTCTGTCTATCGTATGAATATTGGTATTATTAATGACAGCTGGAGTGAGGGTGATCAATAGCCCATTAATGAAGTCAATGTATCCTAAATAAAGTTTGAAATCAAAGACACTTCCATCCAGTGGCAAGAAGGCCAGTATACAAACAAAGAGGAAAAGAGACAAAACAACTAAAGTAATTCTCTCCTTAGGAAGCTCTGATGACAAGTAGACCGTTGATAGTTTATAAAGTTGAATCAGCGTGTACATGAATATGAAACCAATCCACACACTGCTCATATTGACTTGTGAGCAGTGCCAAACCGGATTAAAAATGTACACAACAAAAGTAACCAAAGTCACAAAAAGGACGGCCATGAAGAGATCAAGTATCCACTTGCACTCCTTGTAGTAGAAGGTGAGGAGTATGACAGCATAGTTAATGGGCATTGGGGTCAATGGGATGGGGCCTATCCTTTTTAAGTAGAGGCTAGAGTCCAATGGCAGGGATTTGGGTATCTTTTTAGAAGTTTCTGAGTTGTGAGTGGCCACGTGAGATATGAGGATGGAATCCACAGGAACAGTGTAATAATGGAGGCCTCGAGTGAGGAACCAGCGACCAAAGGAGTAGTGGGGCCCTAGTTTATGTATGACGCTAGCTACAATCATTGTTAAAACGACATTAAACCCAAACAAGGCCATTCTTTCTATAGCTGGAGCTCCAAAGCACTACACGTGGGTAGGCGTGGCTTGTAGTAGGCGTGGTCTAATGTCTCCATGGCAACAATGGCCGATGAACAAAAGTCCTCTGAGCAAGAAGCAGTAGTTACATTACAGGCTAGCTCCGGGGCTAATGGAAGCAGCCATAAAGTTGGTATGTTCCTGAATAGCTATATCCTTATGTTGAGGTGTTTCTTTGCAGATATTCACACTGTGAATCCTGGTAACCCAGTCTTCTCCTGTGACAAGAGATTCACTAAACATGCTTCAAATCTAGTGACTGAGCCAAGTAAACACTCCAGAGTATCTTAAATGTACTTTATATTGTTCAGAAACACAAGAGAAAGCCACCAACATACAGCACCCAATGTACATGACTTCATCAAACACCTATGGGTCAGTGTTCCAATATGGTCAGCTCCAAGCTAAACAATTTCTTTTAGTTCTTTAGTACCGTCAGCAGAAACTTGCCCAAGCACCTTTCACGGGAAATCTCAAAAGTTTTCAGAAGTAAGAGATGCATAGTGTGACATTTAAAATGTCCTCCTCTTGTGAACTACAGCATTTAGCAAGAGCTGGGAATTACAGAAACAATTCATTCAACACGTCTTGTGAACGCAACGGAGTTATGTAGTTTAATATTATTATTATTATAAAAATAGAGTTTGTTGTATAAGAGGTAATATGGTTATGTTCCTTAAGTCAGACAGTACAGCCTAAATAATGGAAGAAGAAAGAATAAAATGATAGTATAGTTTACAGCTGGTAATTTGGGTATTATGTACATGCTCAATGGCGCATGGCCACAAATTTGCCAAATTAACTTCAAACCTCTATGTCTCCTGCTGATGATACTTGGAATAGACTCTTAGCACGAAACTCCATGATGGCTGCAGCAAGAACTATTCTTTGTATAAAACACTGCTGGTATGGAGCAATACAATGTCATTACCTGCTAATATTTCTAACGATTCATAACCTATTATAAAATCCCACAGTATGAATATCTGCTCTACCGATAAGTAACCAACAAAACCAGTCAGGAACCAAGGGAAAACTATCTTCAGCCTACAAAAACAACATAATATACTTAATCCTCCTAATAGTTACTGACGGATGTGATCCTATCAGAATGAGGTACTGAAATAGCTCAGGAATTCTTGATAACATCAAATTCTCAAACAGACAGCAGAGGCCAATGCTACCCTGTCACATACAGTGGAATGAAACAATCATAAATTTATTAATATTGAACCTTTTCTTTTGATGTGAGAATGTGCAATAGCGAAAAGTACCTATTTTAAAATTAACCTATACCTCCATTATCATACCATACCTTGAATACATGACTTTAAACATTGCATACAACTTCTCTGTATCTTGATACAAGTAGCAGAGAGGACCAACTAATAGTGAGATTCGTTATTAATGTAGGTACATGATATACTAACCAAGGATTGAAAACTTCCTATATGGTAATAAGTGATAGCTCCTTCTACCAAATGACTCACTCTGGTCTCTCAATAAGCAGAGAAGGACCTTTTATATTTAATAATAAATAATTCATCTTCCTCTTTCTCTCTCTCTCACTTGAACTAAGATGTCTTCAAATACAAAGAACTCCACGTCATTCATAGTGACAGTCTTAATGTCCTTTTGATACAATGCATGTACAGCCTAAGGCATACTAAGCATTGTACAGTATATACTTTAATTATTAGGTCATCTTGTAATATCCTATATCTTAAAACTTGAGTCTTTAAATTTTCAAGATGAAATGAATGCTAAAAAGAACCCCAACACCAATAATTATAAAAACAGATACCCAGAATGAATTACCTGAGGTAGGTTGATGTCAATGCCAAGTGCCATACTCCAAATGATGCTTCTGTGTTCATTGGTACATCCAACTCTACAGACTTGCAATGCTGAATGATAGAGTCCAGTCTTTATGACTACGAAATAAACTAATAATTACTGCATTGACTGTCCATGACAAGTTACTCGTTTCCACTGATGATGAGGATAATGCTACATGAAATAAATAATAATACTAATAATAATAATAATACTAACCTTCAAAGTCACTAGGATGAAGCTGTGAATATTGGTCCTTCTGTGTTTAAAATATTTAAAAATTAATGAGTAAAAATAGGTAACATACTAAATTAATTAATGATTTACAGTTCATGTGCAGTTTCACTAATCGACCTGTACTGACAGCTCTATAGTTAAGACAAGGAGAGAATGAGGGAGAGAGAGAGGAGTATATATTACTGATCAACTGAAGAGTTTGGATTAGTTATGTGTATGATAGAGTTAAGAATTTCTACATGTGTATACAGTGAATTTAACTGACTGTGATCTACAAATAAATAAATAAAATAAATAAATAAATAAAATAATAACGAACCATATTTCAGTGAACCTATTGATTGCCACTTTTTTCGCAATTGCTCACTTTCAGCTGACGTCCTCTTATTATTAATAAAACAATAAATAAAGTTATTATTATAATATTATACAGCTATACTTCGGCATAAAGAGGTAGTCCTGTTATTTTATGAAGTGCCTTTATTCCTCCATTTAGTCTGTCATGTAAATGTAGCTGAGCTTCTCTGACATATTCTAATGGTTCAAACTGATCATAGTCTGTGGGTAGGGGACCAATCGCTTGAAGTATAAATGGAGTTGTCTCAGATAATCTATTATTATCAATAATAATAATAATAATAATGATGATGATGATGATGAAGGAAGCTGACTACATTAAGGCCACGTTTACACTACTCCGCTCCACTGAATCCGAATAGTTTTTGCTATTACTGTTTTCAGGTGTTTACATTAGTCCAGCAGCTGCGTTTTCATTGGAACTTATAAGTATCCCCTTAGGTATTCGTGTCTCCAGATAAGTATCCATTTTCATGCGTTTTAGTGTAAACGAAACCCGTATCCGTGACTAACAGTCTCCGTTTTCTAATGAAAACGGAGTAGTGTAAACGTGGCCTAAGTATACTAAGTATACTATAAGAGAAGACAGTATATACACATAGAGGAGGGAGCCATAACCCAATGTACTCTCTTGTCAATAATGTTGTCTGCTTTGTTAATTCAATTGCTTTCCTTTTGTGTTACATTGTTATTGAACTGCGTGAAAACATTTTCATCTTTTGTGTTCATTCAGTTAGTACAATACAATAGTACAGGATACACGTACAGTTCATGTATAATTATATATATCTAGCAAGCAATACCTTAACTTCTCTATATAAACTGCATTCTTCAGAGCTACCTCAAGAGCTATGAAATAAGAAATAGTCATAATAGTTTCATAAATAACTAACAAGAGGTCTGTAGTGTTTTCCTTATAAATATCTCCAGTCCTTCAGCGTCACTTGGAAGTTCTCTAGCTGCAGCAACCTCTTTCCATATCTGTCCTCTCATATAAGACAGGACTCCATTGTCTGTAAGCCCTTTCTGTATCTCAGCAACAAAGTATGAATCCTCCATCATGCAAAGGAAAGAGGCGTGGCTGAAATATAGGGACCACACCTACTTCACTTCTCGCTCCTTTTCTTCAACACCATGTCTAGTAATAAAAGCGACACCTCTTCAATAAGTCCTGTCCCTTTAAAGGGGACAGGGACCTCTCCAGAGCCTGGGAGTGTTTCTTCCTCTCTTCCTGGTGGTAAAAATGGCGTCCCTCATATACCTCTAGGCCCGCTCGCCTCAGTAAAGTTAGACCCAACTGATCACCACACCATTAGTCCTACAGCACCTTCTCATAAGGCTGCCCGCCCTCTACCTGTTGAAGAAACCTCTAAGCCAGTGAGACCGGGCCGGGGGAGAATTTTAATTTATATTTAAATAATAATTATGTACATATACATAATACTTATTAATTTTTTATTATAATAATAATTATTTTTCAGAGTCCCAGACGAAATAGAAAGATGTCACGATTGCGTTTCACTTCACTGTCCTCATCTGCTTCAATAGAGGAAGACAGCTCAGGTGTGTGTGTGTGTACATGTATATTTGCAGTAATTATAATGTCATTATTTATTCATTTTATACATTATTTGATGGTCGTGTGGTTAGTCGTACAATACAGCTGGTATATTGTTTATTATTTTAAGTATTGGGGTTTGTTTTTGTGTAATGATACTGTGTAATATTAGCAGTGTATATTTATGATGTAGAGTCTGTATTATATTATCTGTTTCTTTGAAACATGTTTGAATCCATTCACTATGTCTAGCTTCTATAGAGGTGCCTTTAGTGTCCTGTTAGTTACAATCTGTCTTTAATTATTTCTATAACCACCAGCTGTACCTTCTAATGACTGTTGACAGTGTTTTGCTTTGTCCACATTTCATCTTTGTCTTCTCACTACATCTGTCTCTCTTCCCCCCCCCCTCTCTCTCTCTCTTAATTCTTTAGGTTCTTATTCTGACAGTTATTCATCAGATGATGAGAGTAATCCTAGAGATCAGCAGTTATCCAATTCAAATGGGTTCAGAGATTTCTGCATCAAAGACATTAACTTGGCATCTTACGGACGCAAAGAGATCGAAATTGCAGAAAAAGGTCATTTTAAATTATTATTATGTTTTGATCTGGTTCTGGTATTATTAGAAATGCCGGGTCTGATGCTTTTAAGAAAGAAAACTACGACCACGGGAGACCGACCTTTAAAAGGAGCTTGTATTGTTGGGTGTACTCACATCACTGCTCAGGCAGCTGTAAGGAACCGCCTTTTCTACTCCACGCACTAACCCTCACTCCCTCAGTAACCAGTGGTCCTTATAAATAGGATATGTAGTTTATGTACATGCATTTTAGATTTATTTATTTATTTATACATTTAATTAATTAATTAATTTATTTATTTATTTGTTAGGTTTTAATTGAGACCCTTGTGTCTTGTGGTGCTTCAGTTCGTTGGTGTGCCTGTAATGTTCACTCAACTCAAGACGAGGTTTCCATCCATTTAATTAATCATTTATTTCATTAATTTTATTAATTATTATTAATTACATTTATCAATAGGTTGCAGCTGCCTTAGCTGAAGCAGGCTATCCCATATTTGCTTGGAGAGGAGAGAGTGAAGACGACTTTTGGTGGTGCATTGACAAGTGTCTTGATGCTCCGAAATGGAAATGTGACATGGTAAACCACTCCTACCATCCCTTAGTCTAGCCCCTCCCACTCTCACTTTAGATTCTTGATGATGGAGGTGATGCAACTTGTCTTATGTTACAGAAGTATCCTGGAGCAGCTAAGTACATGAAAGGAGTTGTGGAGGAAAGCATCACTGGGATACATAGGTAGACACTGATGGCTCTACATCACTGTGTGCTGCTAAACTAATACACTGTACTATAATAGCATTCTAAATTGAATGTACTTGTACTTCATTTTAACTTCATTTCCTTAGGCTGTATCAGCTTTCCAAAGAGGGTAAGCTCCCAATGCCAGCTATTAATATTCATGACTCGGTTGTCAAGGTAACCATTGATTAATTAATTATTAGACCACACCCTCTTTTAGACCAAGTTTGATAATCTGTACAGCTGCAGGGAATCAGTGATTGACAGGTGATAATAATAATAATGATGATAATTAATTGTTGTTGTTTTCAGTTTAAAAAGGACAATGGACATAATGTTTGGTGGTAAAATTATTTGTGTTTGTGGCTATGGTGAGGTAAGTAGCAATGAATTTAAAATGAAAATGATTAATTTTATTAATTTTATTATTAATGTACTCCAGGTGGGGAAAGGTTGTTGTTCAGCCTTGAAAGGTTTGGGTGCTATTTGTTTCGTAACTGAAGTAGACCCAATCTGTGCACTCCAGGCATGGTAATCAATATACAGTACAGTATCCTGTTAACTGTAGCATCTTCATCATTAGTAGTGGTGGCCACTTAATGTACATGTATTTGTTGCTTTCAAGATGTTTTAATAAACTTGAACATTAAAATAATTTATAGTATCACATTCATTCTTGTACGTGTAGTATGGATGGCTTCAGAGTGGTGAGGCTAGAGGATGTTGCATCAACTGTTGACATTGTAATAACAGCCACAGGTACAGCCATACCATTGCAATGAATACACTGGTATACTGTATACTCTATACTGTATATACTGTATACTGTATATACTCTATTCTGTTTACTGTATACTGTATATACTCTATACTGTTTACTGTATACTGTTTACTCTATTCTGTTTACTGTTTACTGTATTAGGCACTAAACATGTGGTGAGGCGCGAGCACATGAATAAACTAAAGGACGGTTGTATACTGGCTAACATGGGGCACACTACGAATGAGATTGATGTCTCCTCGTTAAAGGATCTCAACAAAGAGAAGATCAGACCTCATGTCTCCCATATTATATGGCCTGATGGTAAAGCCATTATACTGCTGGCTGATGTGAGAATGATATATTGTGTGATTATTATACTGAGTTAATGTACATTAGGGTAAGCTGGTCAATCAAGTTTGTTCAAGAGTTCCTTCACTAGTCTTCTCAATCACTTCTGCTACTCAGGTCAATATACTGGTTAATATACTGGTCAATATACTGGTTAATATACTGGTTAATATACTGGTCAATATACTGGTTAATATACTGGTTAATATACTGGTCAATATACTGGTTAATATACTGGTTAATATACTGGTTAATATACTGGGTTAATATACTAGTTAATGTACACTGAATGATGAGATGTACATTGTAGCTTGGAAAATTGAAGTCGGAATCAGCTCAAACTTTCTACACAGCATAAGGACATCAATATGTATCAAAAAATGTAATAAAAATTTGGGGTGATTTCGGAGCCATTTTTGGAAAAAACCATGGGCTATAGCCTTGGGTATTTTTCAGATTTTTGGCATTTTCTTAAAATGGCCATAATTCGAAAAATTGAAGTCGGAATCAACTCAAACTTTCTACACAGCATAAGGACATTAATATGTATCAGAAAATGTAATAAAAATTTGGGGTGATTTTTGAGCCATTTTTTGGAAAAAACCATGGGCTATAGCCTTGGGTATTTTTCAGATTTTTGGCATTTTCTTAAAATGGCCATAACTCGAAAAATTGAAGTCGGAATGAGCTCAAACTTTCTACACAGCATAAGGACATCAATATGTATCAGAAAATGTAATAAAAATTTGGGGTGATTTCGGAGCCATTTTTTGAAAAAACCATGGACTATAGCCTTGGGTATTTTTCAGATTTTTGGCATTTTCTTAAAATGGCCATAATTCGAAAAATTGAAGTCGGAATGAGCTCAAACTTTCTACACAGCATAAGGACATTAATATGTATCAGAAAATGTAATAAAAATTTGGGGTGATTTCGGAGCCATTTTTTGAAAAACCATGGACTATAATAGCCTTGGGTATTTTTCAGATTTTTGGCATTTTCTTAAAATGGCCATAATTCGAAAAATTGAAGTCGGAATCAGCTCAAACTTTCTACACAGCATAAGGACATTAATATGTATCAGAAAATGTAATAAAAAATTGGAGTGATTTCGGAGCCATTTTTTGGAAAAAACCATGGGCTATAGCCTTGGGTATTTTTCAGATTTTTGGCATTTTCTTAAAATGGCCGTAACTCGAAAAATTAAAGTCGGAATGAGCTCAAACTTTCTACACAGCATAAGGACATCAATATGTATCAGAAAATGTAATAAAAACTTTGGGGTGATTTCGGAGCCATTTTTTGAAAAAACCATGGACTATAGCC